AGACCACTCCATCTCCCCCACTTAGACCTGCTCCTCCTGGGGCCAGGCACAGGGGTGGGCTGGGGGGTGGTTAGTGGGAGGCAATGCCCAGATATGGAACAGGGCCAGGAAATGGAAGAAGGACTCACACTCGGGCCGATCAGAGGATACTGTTGTGGCCATGTGAGTGTGGTGTTCCTAGCTTGGTGATGGAGTGAGTGGTCCTACGTAAAGAAGAACATAACTTATTTTAGACGGTGTGACCCGGTCAGGAGGGGGAGAGGTGTGGCCAGGGTGGAACGAAGGGAGGAAAATGGAGGAGTGTGGAAAGGTGGAGAAGCGCAAGAGGGGGCCGTGCCACACTGTGCGATCGGCTGGTGTTTATCTCTCGGTCGTTCGGCCTCGGGGTGAGGCAGACAGTGACCGACAGGGTCCAGCGCTCCTCCTGCTGCTAAATGGACTGACCGGCCATATGCCCACCGCCGCCGGCCCTACATCACTGTCACGGCAGGGTGGGGGGAGGGCAGGTCCGGGCTGGGGCTCTGTGGGCTGGTCAGGAGATTTAGGTCATAGCCCCAAAAAGGAGCCATGGATATTATTTGGCCATTATTTGGCTCACAGGCAGCTCACTCCCAGGGCTAGCATACCCACAGACCCTCTCCTCTACCATCCACCCTAGTGGAGCAGGAAGGAGCCACATGAGGAAGAGAGAGAGGGAGGGTGTGGTAGCAGCAGGCGGCTAGGTGGGTCCATCCTCCAGCCTGTAGCTCATAGCTCAGGATGATGGATCCAGCCAGGGGCAGGGCAGAATAACGCTGACCCCAGCTGCCCACTGGACCCACTCTTGAGTGAGTTATACAGAGCTGGGCCCTCCTCGATCTGTCTGGACCCTAACGACCCAACACGGCCAGAACCCTGCCAGGACAGGGAGGGAGGAAGGAAGGAGAGGAGGGGATGGAGGGAGGAAAGGAAGTCAACCTGATGGAGGGGAGGGGTGGCTGGATCTGGAAATCTTTGCTTCTGCATATACAAGTATTGTGTGTCAGTGTTTTCTGTGTCTAAAACAGAACGAGTGAGAATAAGTGTGGGTGTACTATATATAAGTATGTGGTTGCGCAACCTGAACTCGGGTAAACGTAGCATAGTAAACGAAAATCTGGGACACTCAAATTAGTATCATATGTTACGTTTGGTATGGTATGCAATAATTTGTGAATGTCCATCCATTTCGTATGATATGTTACGAATTACAATTCGTATGATATGTTACGAATTACAATTCGTACTATATGTTATGAATTTGCAATATCTAAGATATGTTATGATGTGGCTAACGTTAGCTAGGCCACGGGAAGGGTTAGCTAACATGCTAAGTAGTTAGAAAGTAGATCAAAAGTAACCTTCTGTCTTATGTAAGCATACCAATCGTAACATATCATACTAAATGGAGTGTACCTGATTTTCGTTTACTGTGTTACCGATTTTACCGATTTTCGTTTACTGTGTTACGTCTAGTCTATCAGACCAGGCTGGGTAGCGGTACCCCATCTAAACATGGCCTCTCACATATCATACTAAATGGAGTGTACCTGATTTTCGTTTACTGTGTTACGTCTAGTCTATCAGACCAGGCTGGGTAGCGGTACCCCATCTAAACATGGCCTCTCACTAGGTAATGGTTTCCTGTAAGTGTATGTATGAGGGGAGGAGTGCGTGTATGTATGAGGGGAGGAGAGTATGTGTGTCAGGGGAGGAGAGTGTGTGTGTCAGGGGAGGAGAGTGTGTGTGTCAGGGGAGGAGAGTGTGTGTGTCAGGGGAGGAGAGTGTGTGTGTCAGGGGAGGTGTGTGTGTGTGTGTCAGGGGAGGAGAGTGTGTGTCAGGGGAGGTGTGTGTGTCAGGGGAGGTGTGTGTGTGTCAGGGGAATTGTGTGTGTGTCAGGGGAGAAGTGTGTGTGTGTGTCAGGGGAAAAGTGTGTGTGTGTGTCAGGGGAAAAGTGTGTGTGTGTGTCAGGGGAAAAGTGTGTGTGTGTGTCAGGGGAAAAGTGTGTGTGTGTGTCAGGGGAAAAGTGTGTGTGTGTCAGTGGAAAAGTGTGTGTGTGTGTCAGGGGAAAAGTGTGTGTGTGTGTCAGGGGAGGTGTGTGTGTGTCAGGGGAGGAGTGTGTGTGTCAGGGGAGGAGTGTGTGTGTGTGTGTCAGGGGAGGAGTGTGTGTGTGTGTGTGTGTGTCAGGGGAGGTGTGTATGTGTGTCAGGGTGTGAGGTGTTGTGTGGTGTCAGGGGGTGTGTGGTGTGTGTGTCAGGGGTAGGGTGTGTGTGTGTGTGTCAGGGGAGGTGTGTGTGGTGTGTGTCAGGGGAGGTGTGTGTGTGTGTGTGTGTGTCAGGGGAGGTGTGTGTGTGTGGTGTGCCAGGGGGGGTGTGTGTGTGGTGTGTGTTCAGGGGAGGTGGTGTGTGTGTGTGTGTGTCAGGGGAGGTTGTTGTGTGTGTGTGTCCAGGTAGGGGTGTGTGTTGTGGTGTCAGGGTGTGTGTGTGTGTGCTTGTGTCAGAGGTAGGTGGTGTGTGTCAGGGGAGGTGTATGTGTGTCAGGGGAGGTGTGTGTGTGTGTCAGGGGAGGTGTGTGTGTGTGTGTGTCAGGGGAGGAGTGTGCACGCACCAGAGAGCCTAGCCCAGCTTCTAGATGGAGATTGTACAGTATACTGTATCTCTGTCTAACAATATAACACTAACCCACCTCGCAAGTTATTTGCCGACCTGTGTCTGTGCCTGTTTGGCGATGCTTTTCCCACTTCCGAAGCTATACCCGTAATCGGTTGACGGTTCTGATTGGGAGGTCGTCGTCTGCGTCACAGAGCAGTGCCCAGGCAATAATTCAATCCAATTGTTAGATTCTACCACCCCCCTCCAAATCAAAACCAAACATGGATTCCATGTTGTGTTCTCACTTTGCGCAAACACCAGTCTGTGTTTCACACCTGTTTGTCTAGCTAATCAGCCTTGCAATATGTGAACCATGCTGCCCCAGATGGGAAGTAGAAGAAATGTGTGCATGCAAAGCGAGAACAAAACATTGCCATCCATATGAGATTTTGATTTGGGGAGGGAGTGTAGCATCTAAAAACAGGATTTAAAATAGTTTCTTGATCACTGCTCGCCGATGCAAACGGCAACTCTCCACCAGAACTGTCTACCGATTATGGATGTAGCTTCGGACGCGGGACACATGCTGCTAAGCAGATACAGTCATTGGACCATGAGTTATCTCGAACAGTCGCTATGGAATGCCCTTAGACCTCATCTCATTAATTTATTAAATTATTAAATCAGACGTCTAATATTGGGCTACAGAGAGCCCAGCAGGAGAGCTGATTGATTAGCAGTGCACTGGGGTCTAATCATGACTGCCCATAAGGAAGTTACTAATTTTCTCTTACAATAATGTCCTTATTAATCATCAACCGTCCCACAAAACATGTTCAGCTACACCCTGAGTCCAAGACTGCAATGGAATCCTGGTAGTGAAGACCATGAACCAAGGTGGACAAAAATATTGGTAACCTACTCAGTCCATTAGAAGCAGTTATTATTGAAGTCAAAAATGCTGCATGGCGTTGAGAGATTACATCACTCTTTGTCTATACAGTGCATTCGGAAAGTATTCAGACTCCTTCCCTTTTTCCACATTTTGTTGCGTTACAGCCTTATTCTAAAATTGATTAAATCTTCTTTCTTTTATCAATCTACACGCAATAACAAATAATGACAAAGCGAAAACAGTTTTTTAGATTTTTTTGCGAATGTATAAAAAAACAAAAAACTGAAATACCTTTTTACATAAGTATTCAGACCCTTTGCTATGTGACTCGAAATTGAGCTCAGGTGCATCCTGTTTCCATTGATCATCCTTGAGATGTTTCTACAACTTGATTGGAGTCCACCTGTGGTAAATTCAATTGATTGGACATGATTTGGAAAGGCAAACACCTGTCTATATAAGGTCCCACAGTTGACAGTGCATGTCAGAGCAAAAACCAAGCCATGAGGTCGAAGGAATTGTCCGTAGAACTCCGAGACAGGATTGTGTCGATGCACAGATCTAGGGAAGGGTACCAAAAAATTTCTGCAGCATTGAAGGTCCCCAAGAACCCAGTGGCCTCCATCATTCTTAAATGGAAGAAGTTCGGAACCACCAAGACTCTTCCTAGACTGGCCGCCCGGCCAAACTGAGCAATCGGAGAAGGGCCTTGGTCAGGGAGGTGACCAAGAACCCGATGGTCACTCTGACAGAGCTTCAGAGTTCCTCTGTGGAGATGGGAGAACCTTCCAGAAGGACAACCATCTCTGAAGCACTCCACCATTCAGGCCTTTATGGTAGTGGCCAGACAGAAGCCACTCCTCAGTAAAAGGCACATGACAGCCCGCTTGGAATTTGCTAAAAGGCACCTAAAGGACTCTCAGACCATGAGAAACAAGATTCTCTAGTATGATGAAACCAAGCTGGAACACTCTGGCCTGAATGCCAAGCGTCACGTCTGGAGGAAACCTGGCACCATCCCTACGGTGAAGCATGGTGGTGGCAGCATCATGCTGTGGGGATGTTTTTCAGCGGCAGGGACTAGGAGATTAGTCAGGAACGGAGCAAAGTATAGAGAGATCCTTGATGAAAACCTGCTCCAGAGCGCTCAGGACCTCAGACTGGGGCGAAGGTTCACCTTCCAACACGACAACGACCTTAAGCACACAGCCAAGACAACGCAGGAGTGGCTTCGGGACAAGTCTCTGAATGTCCTTGAGTGGCCCAGCCAGAGCTCGGACTTGAACCCGATCGAACATCTCTGGAGAGACCTAAACATAGCTGTGCAGCAACGCTCCCCATCCAACCTGACAGAGCTTGAGAGGATCTGCAGAGAAGAATGGGAGAAACTCCCCAAATACAGGGGTGCCTAGCTTGTAGTGTCATACCCAAGATGACTCGAAGGCTGTAATCGCTGCCAAAGGTGCTTCAACAAAGTACTGAGTAAAGGGTCTGAATACTTATGTAAATGTAATATTTCCATTTTTATTTGTAATACATTTGCTAAAATGTATAAACTGTTTTTGCTTTGTCATTATGGGGTATTGTGTGTAGATTGATGAGGGAAAAAACAATTGAATCCATTTTAGAATAAGGCTGTAACGTAACAAAATGTGGAAAAATTCAATGGGTCTGAATACTTTCCAAAGGCACTGTATGTAGTTAGTACTGACCTGGAGCTCAGTCTGAAAGAAGAACTTCTGTGGACACTGGGAGCAGTCGTAGATTTTGTCCTCCTGACCGTGGACGGCAAAGATGTGCTGCTGCAGCTTATTGGCCTGGACAAAGACTGGGGGGAAGGAGAGGGTGTGTTAGATGATTGGTTTCGGATTAAAAGAACTGGTGACAGGGCAGAGTTATGCTAAAAAGTGAGCTAGGTTACTGAATGAACTATGGAGGAAAAGTGGGAATCTGTCGCTCTCTGTGCAAATACAGAGGCGAGGGAAAGACACTCATTGCACTAAAACAACAACTTCAACAGCGTAAATATAAATAGAGAAAAGACCGGGAGGAGATGAGATATGGAGAGATGGGGAGGTAAGACAACATGCAGACCATCCCTCCTGTGTTTTTTTCTGTTTTGTTTCAGTAAACTTAAGTTTGCTGTGTGTGTGTGTGTGTGTGGAGAGTCTGAATTATTAACCCTCCCCAAAGGAGCAGCACCCCCTTACTTATTCATAACCCGCACAGGAATAGAGTTAAACTTTTAAAAAGAGTGCTGTGTACCTGTGGGGGAAGGGAGTGGGGGTGGGGGATGAACACAACCAAACAACTATTGAGAGAGAGAGAGACAAGGGGGGCCTGCTTCGTGGTCTGAGATTATAATTTAGTAAGTATTCTGATGCAGACAGACTAACAGAAACCAACAGACACATATAAGCAGGTAGACTCTCAGACAGACAGCTTGGGATTGGGATTTCCAATTGCTAGAGAAACAGAGAGAGAAACACAAAAAAGCAGACAAACAGGAAGTAAGAGAAACAGACATAAGACAATGGATAAAGACAGACAACAGTCAGCCATGTCTGTGTCTCAGTGTCTATAATGATTTCTGATTCCCACAGGGGAGCTGGAGGTCCAATGTGACTTTGAGCCTGCTACCTGAAGAGCCCTGGCTGCTTAACTCGGAGGACACGTACAGAGGGCCCCTAAAACAGCCGGACGGCCATAGAGGATTAGTTGCCCTCGTCTTTCAACCTGCTCTTTATTCTCTGACCTCTCAGGGCCTTTCTGATCTGGGGCACAGCAGACACAGGGGACCACGGCCAAACCTGAAGAACCTTGAGCCGCTCTGCTTGGCCTGCTAGTCTTGGCTACACCTGGCCTGCCCTGTGCCGGTTCCCTGTGATGGTCGCTGTGACTGTGCCTATGACTGAATCATGCCGACTGTGGCTGGGCTAGTCTCTGTGCTCAGCCAACCCTGCCCTGTGACTATGGCTGTGGCTGTGACTGAGTGGAGCTGACAGTGTGAGTCTGGCCTACTCAAGGCGGACATCACACCCTGTTGCACCTTGGGTAAATCAGCTCTAATTAACTTTCCCATCAGCACGACAGGACTGATAAAGGACCTGAGTTCTCCATCTCAGAAGCACAGAGTGTGGAATATCTCTGCTAGGTCTCCTGCGGCTTGGCTATTTGTCATAATATTTTCACTATCTTGCACAATGGACTTGATTCCAATGTATGGAGTGAGTTTTTTATATCTTGGCTAATTCTTTACTACATGGACATCCGTGTCTTTCCTGAGACAGGACATCTCTCCAACCCAACTCTTTACCTCCCACTGAACTGATCGTTAATACAGTTCAATTAAGTAGTGGAGGAGGAGGACTACATGTTAGCACAGGAGGGGGTATAGGGTGGAAGGTATGGGGAGAGGAATAGGGAGGTGGAGAGGATTTATCTGGGTCCATGTCTTAGCATCTCTGCTGTTCAATGGGTGAGAAAGTGCAGTGCAACACCGTGTGTGGGCCTGCAGATCTAGTGGAACATGTGTTCATATTGTGTCTATGTGTGTATGTTAATGTTGGTCAGACACTCAAGCACCTTGACTGCCCTCCACCTGGCCCCCCTCTGATGCCCCACCCCGACCCCTCACCTGTGAAGCAGACGGGACACTTGAAGGTGCCGCCCATGCCCTCGAAGCTGTGCTCGATCAGGTGACACAGGAGCTTGGCCGGAGAGTCAAACATCTGGTTACACAGCTTGCACTCGTGATTGATGCCTTCCTCTGCAAAAGAAGAACACACCATACAACAAGGAGGGTCAGAAAGTGAAGGCAGGGAGAAACATATTATACACACACATTATCGTCAAACACACACACACACTCACAAATACACAAAAGGAAAAGTGTAAGCTCATGTACAGGTACGTTTGTGTACTAAAGTATAGCAGTTCAATTCAATCATTGCCTCTCTCCTGCTTGCCTGCTCATGCTGCAGCACGTGGCACAGCACCAACACATGCCTGTCCCTCTGCCTTGGCCACAATGTCCCTGTCACAGAGCCCAGAGCTCAGACAGGGATACCATGATCCCGCACTTACAGGTCCAGTCTGCATCCTACTGAGAGAGGGCTGTCCGTCCTTCCTTGCGTCTTTCCCTCCATCCTCTCCTCTCTCCGGTCCAGATCTGGCCTGTGTGACCGGCCCGCTCCCCTCCCTCCCCTTCTCTCAGTGCCGCTTCTCTCCCGGCCGGTAATTGCCTGCCACCCCCAGTGGTCTGGGCTATGTGCCCTCCCCCTGCTCACCGCTCTATTTTAAGCCTGCATGAATGACATCAGCGGCCCCCTCCGCCGTGGGACAGATGAAAGGTGGGCGTTGGGTCCTGGCTGGGCGCCTCCGCTCCTGTCTTATCGGCCGAGCATCACACAGGACCGAGCCGCACCCGCGCCATCAGATTGCCTCCACTGCGCCCCAATCCTAGCCCCCCGCTGAGTCCCGAACCGTGGAAGACACTGCTGCCTGTCTCTGTCCCCCCTGATGGCAGCCTCCCCTGTCTCCCCTGCCGTCCCACCATAGAGAGCCTCCCCCCATGCCCCGAGGTGCCCCACTGCTCAGCAACAGGGGCACGCAGGGTTAATAAAGTCTTCAATCAAACATCCCTGACCCCCCCCCCAATACCCAAACCACCTCCACTGATTCCAATCTCCTCTCTGTCTCAAAGGCCTCCACAAGTGTGACTTAATCCCTGTCTGAATGGCTAGGGGAAGGAGGGGGGTGTGGGGGCTGGGTGCAGACAGGGCTTAGGGGGATTGGCGAGGGCACTCCTTTGCTCTGCCCGTCCCCGCTGCTGCTTCCTCAAAGACATCACTTTTGGGTGGGATGCCTTTCGGTCCCAAACCACCCTGAGATGGAGGTTGATTACCATTTAAAATATTAAATTGAGGCAAGATTGAAGCAGCAGGTGAAATTTCTCATAAACCCAGAGACAGATTCCCTCAGAACTGTCTCCGAGAGAAAACCCTAGAGCCACAACCACAATCAACAGCACCAACTGACCAATAGAATCCTGACCTACAAACACCAACTGACCAATAGAATACTGACCTACAAATACCAACTGACCAATAGAATACTGACCTACAAATACCAACTGTCCAATAGAATACTGATCTATAAACACCAACTGACAATAGATCTAGCATACAGGTCCAAAAATTAAAACCAAGGTGAAATGAGGGTTATGTACGGGAGACATAGGGAGAATTTAAGACAACTATGAGTAAAGAGAGAACTGAGCTCAGTACAGAGAGCAGGGGGATAATTGGGCTGTCTGACAAGGGCCGAGGGCGCAGAGTGAGGGGGCCCAAAGCGTTTGTGTGTGTGTTCTATGAAAGTAATGTATTTTCTATGACAAATACAGTGGTTTTGATCAGTGAGTGGGGAGTGTACTCGGTCTGTCCTCACTTTCAGAGCGGGGAGGGAGGGCTGATGGGCCGTGCACTGACAGACACAAAGCGGACTGGGGCTGGGTCGGTTGGGCTGTGTGTGTGTGTGTGGGGGGAGGGAGGGAACCATGGAGAGATGACAGGACCCTGAAACGTCCTGATGGCCCGCATTGTGTCTGAGAGAGCATTTGAGCCGCGAGACCGCCACACAGCTGTATGGCTCCTACCCCGGGAGGCCCACGCTGGGCCAGGATGGGAGGGAAGGAGGGCAGATGTTTGGTGAAGGTGAGTCCTGGTAGTTTCACTAAACTAGCAAACAAAACCAAACTATATTCAACTTGCAGAAAGTGCACAACATATATAGTAATTACTAATTACTACACTGCTATACAAATCACTGATGCAGACTATCATACATACAATCCTTATTAGTGGTTGATCTCTTATCTTTGCCATTATGTGACTATTAGACTACTAGCGCTAACCGGTTCAATTGATTAACCACAAGTAAGAGGTTTCCAGATTTGGCCCATTAGATGAGTGTAGGGATGTTTGGTACTAGCAGCCTATAGAGGAGGCATTAGTATGGCAGAAGGGAGAGGTTAAATAGCTACAGGACATTTCATCCTTCAAAGGCCCCACTTCAAGAGTAGGAAAGAAAAGAACAGGGGAAAACACACTGATCTGTTAAGAGGCTTGATCAGTATGCAGAGTGAAGAGAAGAAGAGTGAGATAGAGAGAGCGGGAGAACATTTAACTCCAATTCAGAGGGGGAAAACCTTCCCCACCTCCTAAGGTATGCACCATCTTAATTGAGAAATGGCATGACGCCGCCACATATACACAGAATTACTGATGAGGGCTTGCCAGGACACTAATGGGAAAGAGAGAGGGAGTGAGACGGAGGGAGAGCGAGAGAGAGACAGTGTGAGACATGGAAAGGGGATGGGAGAGTGAGGAAGAGAGAGGTGAGAAGAAAGAGAGGGATACAGTGAAAGAAAGAAGGTAATGGAATACAGACTGAGGTGGATAGAGAGATTGAGGGCCTTGCAGCGATGGAGAAAGGAAAGGTGTGAAGAAACAATATTTATGTATTATTCCTAAATTGTTATTCCACCAACTGAACAGGATTCTTACCCTGCACAAACACTACTGTGGCGTTGCTGCTTCCAGCTAATTGACCAGAGGGAGCCAGGTGGCGCCCTGACTCGCAGCCCTCCCCTGGGACGGTCCCTTCTACACAAGCCCCCCCTCCTCCCATCACCTCCCCCTGTCGGCTCCTCTCCCCCATCCACCCACAACACCCTGCAGCGTGCACTGGCACACAAATGAGCTCCTTGGTTGGGAGCTTGCCTGCGGCCTAAAGCCCGGCCTGGCGATTGATGGCAGGGACAGCAAGAGAGATACCAGGGGAGAGCAGAGGGAGGGAGGGGGGGCAGGAGGGCTGAGTGGTTGAAGTGGTGAGATGGAGGTGCTGGGCTCCTCTAGGGGGTTAGCTCAAGGTGTGTTGCCATGGAAACAGAGGGAGAGGAGGGCGAAATCGAGGCATTCTGAGCTTGACCCATGGTGGTGGGGGCGGCAATGTGAGCCAGAGTATACACACAGGCATGCACACACACACACCCTGCTGCAGAGCTGGAGGGGTCCCAAGAGCTCTCCACCTCTACTCTCCCTCTCAGACGCACACACATCCGCATACACACACACAGAATGCTGCAATGCTGAGGTGATCCCTGGAGCTCCTAACACCCACACATATAGACTCTCACTCGCGTTCACTCAATCTCTCTCTGACACAAACATCTTGTTTACACACAAACATACTCTCCGTCTGCCAGTCCGTCCGTCCTCGCTATTCACTTCTCTTCGATCACCAGTTTAGTGACTCTGCTAGTGACTATCCCTCTCTCTATTCTTCTCTTCATTCCTCTCCCTCTCTCCTGGCCACGGCTCTGGTTCACACGTTTCCTATTATCTGTAGTAAATATTTCCGGAGCTCACTCTCCGGCGGCCAAGCGTGATGGAGTCCCCGGCTCCAGACATTTTTGGCAGACGTGGACAGCATATGGAGCTGACCAGCTTGGAATCTCCTATCAGATTACATAACAGTAGGATGCTGGATCTCTCCACCCTGTAGAAACTTCATGCAAACACACAAACAAACTCCTCTTCCAAAGCACATTCGCCTCTCCTCCCCCCCTCACTCCATCATCCCCCCACCTCTCACCAACTCCCTCCATCGAAATAAGTTCTTTAAAAAAAAGACCTACCTGCTATTCCTTGACACCAGTGGAGGTTCCTCAGAGGAAGGGGAGGACCATCCTCCTCAGTGAATTTCAGAATTTTTTAAAATAGTGAAACATTAAAAAAGTTATCCTTTTTAGATAAAACTATACAAAATATATTCACGGCACCAAATAATTGATTAAAACACACTGTTTTGCAATGACGGTCTACAGTAGCTGCAACAGCACTGTAGGGTAGCACCATGGTGTAGCTGGAGGACAGCTACTGTAGCTCATGGTTCTCACCCCCTTCCATAGACTTACACAATAATTATGACAACTTCCGGAGGACATCTTCCAACCTATCAGAGCTCTTGCAGCATGAACTGACATGTTGTCCACCCAATCAAAGGATCAGATAATGAATCTAGTACTGAAAGCATAAGCTACAGTTAGCTAGCACTGCAGTGCATAAAATGTGGTGAGTAGTTGACTCAAAGAGAGAGAAAGACAATAGTTGAACAGTTTTGAACAAATTAATTTCTTAAAAAATGGAGGAGCAAGAGAGAGAGCTAGCTATATTTTGTCCTTTTCTTTCCACTTTCACTTACTTAGCTAGCAAATGCAGCTAGCTAGTTTAGCCTACTCAAACACCCGCCTCAAACAGAGGGATGCTATGTTAGCTAGCTGGCTATGACTATCCAACACTCTTCCAAGTCAAGGTAAGCTTTTGGTTTTACTAAGTTATTGCCACCGGGGCCCGCCGGTGTAACTGCTAAACTGCTTACTGACTGTACACTGTACTGCATGATTGTAGCATGCTTACTAACGTGTTAGTTATATTAGCTATGTTGACTATGGCGTTACTTTAGCTAATATGGTGACAACGATTTAGGCTGTGTGTACCAGTTATGATATGAAGGTTTGGCTTGGAAAGGTTTTTTCGCCTGGTCACAGACAGCTGATGCGTTGTGCATTGAAGTCCACAAGTGAAGGGAAAAGGTGAGAGGAGCAGAGCGAGTAGATGAGCTAAGGAATACAACGAGCTGTATGTGACTACAACGAGCTGTATGTGACTACAACAAGCTGTATGTGACTACAAGAAGCTGTATGTGACTACAACAAGCTGTGTGACTA